TAAAAACTCGATTAGCTCAAAACTACACCAACTTTATATTAACCGCGGGAGTTATCTATTGTAATGTTGATATGGGGTTCAAAATATTTGATTCTCATACAAGGGACATATATGGTAGATGTGGTCCTCAAGGTACACATGTGCCTCCTGTAGCATTATCCCTTGATAGATTAGTATGTTATTTTCAGAGTATACATAACGATGATATATTTGAGGTAAAGGGGGTACATATTAATGAAGTTCAAATGGCATAGCACTTCCTCTAAATAATGCGCATGAGAGCATAAATTCCAATCTAAGTTGTGTTGTGGCTATCTGCTCTCTCTACTACTCTATAATTAAATCACATAGTTATTGGAATTCAAACACCTAAGCTTCTATTGTAGATAATGGCAAGAGACTGGGCAACAATATATGTTTAAATGGTTGTATATCATTATCTCATCTACCCAAAACTGTTGATGTCTGTGGAGCTGAATTGAGTTTTAATGTTTTCAGTGACAACAAGGAAGGACTATTGTACAATTCACTTCACAGGAAATCAATTTTTGAAAATGCTATGATAAACAGTACTGAATGCACAGGGTTTTTGATGTGGCTTTCCTGCTATTGTATCAGTTGTATCTATAACCCACAAAGAAGAGAAAATATATGTATTCCCTCCTGGTATACAATGAAAATCACATACAACCAATTCAGTATACTAGGAACACAAATGGTACAGCTTCACTCGCTGAGGCAGTTAGCTGTGTTCATAGGGAACGAAGGATCATAAGAATATTACAGAGCCTGAAGGGAGGATCGGGTAAATTTTAATCGTAACTCAACCAAAATCCTCCATATCCCTTTCTCTCCCCCTTAGTAATGATTAATGGCCGTTGCCGCGCTTGGAAAGCGATACATGTAACAAAATTGTCCCGTCTTTTTTTCCCCGTTTTTCCTGCACTTGTTGCCGGTCGAATAATTTTCCCTTGCCAGCAGTCAACGAAATCTGACTTTTCACTCTCACTAGAGATGTTGGGGTGTTCAGTGTTTGAGGAATGGAACGACTTTTACAGTCTTATTTCCTCGGATTTGCCGCAAAATCAAATTACTTCCAACATTCAGTTGAAAATTACTGAGGTTTCAATACCTGTGAAAAATCTCAAAAAGAGTGGGAAGTGTACTGACAACATTCTCATCAAGTGTTCATGGAAAGGAAACGTGGATTTTGTGGATTAAATAATCATTATCGCGTGTCGAGGAATAAACCTTGGGCCTTGTTCTATTGATTTTAACCGTTTCATCCCCAACCATTATTTGCTGACAACCGAAGCCTGACTTTAAAGAGCCTGGGTAGACGACAGTGGTCGTTGCCTCCTTTTTAAACTTAGCCTCGCCGTGGACCACACCGTAACTTGGCATGAAGAAATTGTCTCAGCATCACAGGTGCCAAGTTACGATGTGGTCCCCGGCGAGGCTAAGCTTAAAAAGGAGGCAGGGTTACCAAGTTGATTTTCAACGGTCGTGTGTCAAGGTTGATGTGTACGCGGGCTGTTCGAAACCTATAAACTGGAAGTTTTTTAAGCAAACTGCGGCATAGCGTCGGATGCACGGGGAAGATTGAGTTTGTATTGAATTGAAATGAAACTACAGTATATGTGCTTGGATTCTGCGTTGGATTTGTGGCCGCCCGGTCATTTTGCGCTGGGATTTTTCGCTTCTCGGATCGGGCGTTCGGAAATGGAGTGTTCAGCCTTGGGCCTCTCTTATGTACGTTGAAAACCTCGAAATGGACAACTCGCTAAAATGGGTTGTTTTCATCAAAGAAAGTGGTCAGATAACAAGCGATACGCTGTGAAAGTTAGGTGAGGTATTTCTATTGAGAATTTGATGTATTGTTTTATTCCTTAGAGCGGTCGTAAATATTCTCGTACAAACTCTTATAATTCCGCTATGACTGTTATTGTGCAAGATGATAATCTCACAGCTGGAGCTCGGGCCGCCTGTGATTCAATTGTGCTTAAAAAGGTTTCTTCCTAAAGAATACGACCTTAAAATCGGCTAACCCCCCACATTACAACACCAAATAAACAAACAAATGGCAGATCAATGAATTTAGAGCAGCATTATATTCTCTTTAACTGAAATAAGAATAGAAATCAGCGAGCGTTTCAATATTAGAGATTACAAGCATTGATAACAGTAACAGCATACAAAAAGCCTAACAAAACAATGAAATGCTACAAAAATGTTAATCTTTTCGACTCTTTATTATACTCGTCATGACTAAGAAATCAACATGTTTTCTTGAAAGTTACAACGAAAGCAGAATGTTGAACTTGAGCGTTTGCAGTTCTCGAAATCTAGTGTTATTCTGTAATACTAGCGTACTACTAAAATGTTTCTGTGAAATTACTTGAAATTCCTTCACTGACTCCATCTATTGCGTAATAAATTTGAGTTAAAAAAAGCAGCAAGCCTTCCACAATGGCTGAGATGCACAGGACTACCAATCCCATCCCCACAAGTGTCTTGCTGGCGCTAAACTCAGATTCCTAGCTTGTGATAAACTTCAGGATCGTAGTTGAGCCGTCCTGTGGTTTGTAATGATCTAAAAAGGTAGACCGGAGTTTTCCAGGTTCTTCGTAAATCTTCCAGAGCCAGTCCTTGATAGAATCCTTAAACAAAGAAACAGGAAGCGTTACTGCGTCGAAAACCTATACTCAATCCAACTATCCTGACGTACGTAAATGTAATCTTTGCGTTATCCCCTGCCCACCTCCCCACCATTTTTAATGATGTCAAAATGGTGCATTCTGGTCATCGCGCACCTTCCTTGTTCTACTGAAGAAAGGAAGTGGAAGTTGAACGTAGGATGGGGATCTCTGTTTCATTTTGTTCTGTCCTAAGGCTTGAGGTTTCGCAGTTCAAGCAGAAAAATTTCAAAGGAAAACATAAGAAAGAACTGCTGTCTCGCAAGTCAAGTATAAGGTTATTGAAAAGTTAATAGAAATCTGTAACAGGAAACAAGAGTAGGGAATGAGAAAACTCGAAACTTATCGATTGCAGAACTTATTCAAGTATGGGTATCCTGCTGAGTCAATACCATGACTTACTGCCTTGTGTAGTTGTCTATTTGCGTGAGCCATCCTAAAAGCACGCAACCTATTCATCACAACCTCTGCGCATGCACATACGTTTGACGGTATTCCTAAGGTACTTAAATTTTTCCCACCTTTGTGCTTTTTATTTTCTTTAGATACGCAAATAACACGATTTTCCCGCCTTTTTTGCTGTCGGCATAATTTTCGCGCGCCCTGGTCACCGAAGTCACTTAAAGTTCTAATTGGATCAACACTTTCTAAACCACAGAGATTCTTACCTTGACCAGTTCTTCTTAAATCTTCGTTTAGTTTGGATGATCAATTTTTTAATTTTCATTTGCAGGAAAACTCATTAGTCTGAAACGCCTTTGTCGTCTCTCCATCCGCAAGTTGCTGTTTCCCTGTAGTATTGATATTATCAATTCTCTGAACATTCCTTCCTGCCTCAAACTGTACATTTTAAACGTTGTTCAAAGCAAGAATGTGGACACTATGATGTCAAATTAATTCCCAATTTGTGTAGTCATAATTTATTACTGATGGGTGTGCAGTGAGGAAGAACATCCTCACTGAGTTGACTTCAAGCGCTACACTCCTTAGTTTTCTTTTTGAAAAACGATCTCAGAGTTTTATTGTTAATAAGATACTACTTCTTTCTACCTTTTTTTTTAGAATACCTGTAGTAGTTATCGATATATTTTATCCCCAGGAAAAGTATAGATGGTCATTTTAGCGGTTAAAAACAATTTTTGGTTTGTGTGTTAAAACATTCACCTCTGGTAACTTGATGAAAATTCTCCTTACTGTCTGCCATTCATTTTGTGTAAAGTTTGTTCTGAGAATTTGATATTTGGATCAACTATTAATCCCATTATTGATAATTTTCTTTATTCTCATCACTTGGCTGCTTAATGTTGTATTGATATTGTAAGGAGAAATTCTGTCCTGGTCACTTCCTGGAAATGAAAGGCGTAATAGAGAAAATTCCTATAATATATGTTTGATTTTAATGCATTCATCTGAAAGGGATGTTAACAATGTGATGAGTTTAACGGGTCCTTTTTGTGATCGCTTTTCTATTGAGTTATGACAAAGTAATTACCACTGCGAATTAGAAAAAAAATGAAAACGCAACAAAACTAACGAGAAATCGAAGTAAACACATATGAACTGTCTGAAGCGCGGGAAAAACGCGGGTGGCAAAGTCGTGGCTAATTTCAATTTCCGGTATCCGATTGGTACCGACGAGATTACGTTGTAGGAAAGCGTTGGACACTGCATTGAAAACTGCTCTGTTTTAATGTTCACAACGAATCTCCAAGAAATAAGAATGGGCTTGATCACAATCGAATAACGGTCTATGCACTTGTGTTTACCACAAACCAACAGATTCATATAGTTATTTGTAGTATTTATCTTCGCATCCATCACATGTCAAGAAGTCCACTCCTCTTTCGTAGTTTCTCAGACTTCCTCGTTTATGCAGAGACGACTCTGTTTTTTTCGACAAATCAGAGGCAACGTGCCAGTTTTTAGATAAACGTGGCTATCCTGTCTCTGTCGTTCAAGCGAGCTACCACCGTGTCCAACAAACTGATCAACAGTCAGCATTACAAACGGCTCAGAAAGAAAATACCGATCGCGTTCCATTCACTCACATTTTACCCTCACAACTACACAGTTAAATCTATCATTCTTAAAACTTTAAATGACTTCAAAATGATTCGGAGACTGGTAGCACTACACTTTCTTTAAGCAGCTTACCCCCTTATTAATACATATCACAACCGGAACTAAGTGGGGCTTTTAAACCAGTATTTAATTAATGGGAAAATTCATAAAAACATATGGAGTATATGAAAAATAGCTATTCTCCAAACTTTACATATTAAAAGCAAACAAACAAAAAACGTTCCCTGATCACTACACGCGAGCGTTTTGGTAAATTTTCCTAAATTTACGATATAACTAAAAAAATTTTGAAAATCAGTTCAACGCAACAGCATCGCAAAACGATCTTTGAGAAACAAATCAAAAGGTGAAACGTCTAAATTCTCAAGTACAGCTGAAGTTAACATCATGACTTAGCTAACACTAGATGCAGCAAAGTAAAAAAATAAAATATAAACTATTACATTTTTCTTAAAACTAATCATAGGTGGTTTACATTATATGGTTTGGGTTATGATTTATCCAGAGGACCCCCCATCCTCGTCCAAACACTTAGCCACGAGTCAGACTTTCGTGGTGACTCATGCTTGATTCTTCATAGCTGAAGACTGTGGTTGACCCGTCCTGTGGCTGGTATTGGTCTATTCCTGGGGTGAGCTTTCCAGTCTGTTTATCTCTTATCATCCAGTATAGATTTTTGGCGGGATCCTAAACAGTAAAAATCAAAGAAATGCTAGTTAAAGGAAAATTTTTGTCAAGAGACTTCTGGATGGTATCTGGATTCGGAAAAATTTGCGAAAATAAATTTACGATAGAGTGTAGCATGAAGAGGAATTTGACATGGAAACCTTACACATAGGAAGAGTTTCCGTTTCCAATTCGTGGTGCAAGAAATTCTGTTTAAATTATAGGTGACACGTGAATTTTTTTAAAATTCGTGCGTGAAATGGAATTAAAACACCTCTTCCTCCTGCCCCACCCCCCCTTCCTTCGGTACCCTCTCCTAAGGAAAAGGCAGAAAGAGAGAGAAATCATGAAAATGCAATACCTCTTCAATCCCGTCCATGGCAATGACCAAATCCCCCATACCACCATAGTAGGTGGTAGAGTACTTATTGAACGGCCCCTCTTTATCTTCGTTTGCAGCTTTCTTCACGATGTCAATAAGAAACGTACCTTGAGGAACCTTTGTGGTGTAGGGGGCAGGGATTGGTTTGTCCACGATCTTTGTATCCCAGTCCAGTGCAATTGTAACAGTGATTTGGCCCATCTCGTTCTAAGTAGATGCAAAATGTCACTTTTGTTATGATGGTGCTGTGAAACTGTGATGATGTCTGTGAAGGTTCGACTCCGTTCTCAGGGCTCTCTCTGACTCATCCTCCGAGTAAGAGAGTCCCGTCACAAACTTTACCGAAATGAGCCATCATCAGTAACCTTTGAATCACGCTTCGCCATGTTAGCCATGATATAAGGAAATTTTAGAGTTTTCTAGTAAGAAAAATGCCACCCTGTTTCATTTCAAACAACATAATGGCTCTCATCAGTTAAAGACCACAAAAACAGCTCGGCTGCCAAAACCAATCAAACTAAAATATATCACATGCACTCAATACAAAGATTGCCGAGTTAATCCGGAATAAAACAGTTAAGTCTCCTCGATTAAAAGACAGACCGGTTTGACATTCATTTTATCGTTCTAAAACCAACGCAACGTTTTCTCCATTGCTCCTTTTGTAAAGTCTCTGCTTTGCGGCTCTGAACTCCAGCTTTTATATCTTGATACGAGGTTACAATGGCGTGAGAAATTGAGTCAGCCAAGTATACTTCCTTAACGATCGCAAGCTCACAAATAAATGACGTCACCATCATGGCAACGGCACGCTTCAAGTTGCATGGATTTCTGTTTGTTCAGACTTGTGAAAAACAAGCGACACGACGATAGCAAAACTGCAAGTACAAAGCTCACAACTAAATGACGTCACCATCATAGAAAAGGCATTGAATTCCGTTCACCAATAAACCATCGTAGCAACGGCACGTTTCAAGCTGCATGAGTTTCTGTTTGTTCAAGCTCGTGAAAAACAAGCGACATGACGATAACATTTTTCTCAACTTCTTAATTGAAATTCAATTCTGCTCAGCAAATAAACTCTCAAAAGTTGTTAGTCCGGTCTACAAAGCTATGGTTGGAGTTCTACTACGAAACAGTTTCAGTCAGTAGTTGCAACTTGGGCGTCACTTGAAATCGGAGCATTTCACGAATGATCAGTGGCCAGCGATAAACAGGAAAAAGTTGGCACATCGTGATTCACACAAATTTCCTAATACAGCTTATGCATCTAACTTCGATAACAAAGGAAAAGTCCATTGAGACTTCTTCCTTTAAACTAAACCTATACCCCCAAATAATTAGAGCTTAATCGTCACTACAGCGTAACCTTGAGAACAAACAAAATTAATGTAACAATTTTATCAACATTCATCTACGGCAAGAGAATGTCAACTGTTTGACAAGTCTACTTTGCGGCTCTGAACTAGAGCTTTTATGTCTTGTCTTGGTGCGAGGTTACGATGGCGTGAGAAATTAATTCATTCCAAGTTTATCCTTAACGATCACAAAACCGCAAGTACAAAGCTCACAACCAAATGACGTCTCCATTGTAGAAAAGGCATTGAACCATCATAGCAACGGCACGTTTCAAGTTGCATGAGTTTCTGTTTGTTCAAGCTCGAGAAAAACACCCAACACGACCAAAACATTTTTCTCAACTTCTTAATTGAAATTCAATTCTGCTCAGCAAATAAACTCTCAAAATTAGTTAGTCCGGTCTACAAAGCTATGGCATGAGTTCTACTACGAAACACTTTCACTAAGCAGTTGCGACTTACGCGCCACTTGAAATCGGAGCATTTCAGAAATGATCGGTGGCCAGCGATAAACAGGAAAAAGTTCGCACATCGTGATTCACATAAATTTCCTAATATATCTGATGCATCTAACTTCGATAAAACAGGAAAACTCGACCGAGACCTCTTCCCTTTAAATTAAACCTATACAGCAAAAAAATTAGAGCTTACCCGTCACTACAGCGCAACCTTGCCAACAAACAAAATTAATGAAACAATTTTATCAACATTCATCTACGACAAGAGAATATCAATATCCGAGAATCGATTTCAAAGATTAGCTCAACACAACGACTGACTGTGTTCCGCGAAGCAAATCAGCTTTATAGTTTTCTCACAAATTTCTAGGCAGGTCAGGAACGTTAGTTCGCAAATTTGATAGGCTCGTTATATACTCGTACCCAATTCACCCTTTTGAGACACGGATCATGGTTGGGCGATCAATTTACCTTTGTAGGTAAATACAAATAAACTCTCAAAAGTTAGTCCGGTCTAAAAAGCTATGGCTGGAGTTCTACTACGAAACAGTTTCATTCAGTAGTCGCGACTTGGAAATGCGCGTCACTTGAAATCGGAGCACTTCACGCATGATCGGTGGCTAGCGATAAACAAGAAAAAGTTCGCACATCGTGATTCGCCTAAATTTCCTCATATACCTTATGCATCTAACCACGATAAAACAAAAAAAACTCCATTGAGACTTCTTCCCTATAAACTAAACTTATACAGCAAAATAATTGGAGCTTACTCGTCACTACAGTGCAACCTTACAAACAAACAAAATCATTGTAATAATTTTATCCAACATTCATCTACGACAAGGGAATATCAACTGTTTATAATCTCTTTTCTACGATTATTCAGTTTTTCTTACCTTTATGAAATTGAAAACAGTTGAATATTTGCTAATTAACAGTCAATGGCCAATGGAAATCTGGATTAGATAATAAGCTGACAATATCCAAAAATCAGTATCAAAGATTGGCTCAACGCAACGACTGACTGTGTTCCGCGAAGGAAATCAGCTTTATAGTTTTCTCACAAATTTCTAGGCAGGTCGGGAACGTTAGTCCGCAAATTTGATAGGCTCATTACATACTCGTACCCAGTTCACCTTTTTGAGACACAGATCACGGTTGGGCGATCAATTTACCTTTGTAGGAATATACTGGCTTTCCGACCAAAAGACGGACTGCTTTGATGATCATTTCAACGGTCTAATACCATTGCAACCTTATTTTCGATTGCCCGTTTTGTCAAGTCTGTACTTTGCGTTCCTGAACTAGAGCTTTTATGTCTTGTCTTGGTGCGAGGTTACGATGGCGTGAGAAATCAAGTCAACCAAGTTTATCCTTAACGATCACAAAACCGCAAGTACAAAGCTCACAACTGAATGACGTCACCATCATAGAAAAGGTATCGTATTCCGCTCACCAATAAACCATCATAGTAACGGCACGTTTCAAGTTGCATGAGTCTCTGTTTGTTCAAGCTCGTGAAAAACAAGTGACACGACGAAAATATTTTTTCTAAATTTCTTAACTGAAATTAAATTCAGTTCAACAATTAAATCTCAAAAGTTGTTAGTCTGGTGTACAAAGCTATGGCTGGAGTTCTACTACAAAACAGTTCCATTCAGTAGTTGCGACTTGCTTAGGGTTAATCTCTTGCCTACGATTATTCAGTTTTTCTTACCTTAATGAAATCGAGTAGTGTTTAATTTTTGTAGATTATCTGTTGATGGAAATCTGGAGAAGGTAACTGACGCCTACAATATCCGAAAATCAAATTGAAAGATTGGCTCAACACAACGACTGACTGTGTTCCGCGAAAAAAAACAGTTTTATAGTTACTCGGGCGTTCCAAAAGAAACTCCGGGCCTATTTCTCCCCTCGTTCAGTTACAAATCGCCGTTTGAGCTTTAAAGCGTATGCGAAGAGTAAGACATCGGAGCGGTCGCTGAACGCTGTGCGCATCGCTGAGCACATAGTAAGTAGAGTGACGTTCCATGACTTCAAGGAGCTGAAGTCACATAGAAACGAGCACGCCGTTCGCGGTAGACCCACACGAAAAGAAGTTCAGCATTTTCGGAACGGGTCGGTCCGCATGCCTTCCGAGAGATCTATTTGGGAGCGAACATTTATGAGTGAACCTATCGAGAATCTTGTTATACTAAATGAGCTATCAAATCTGAATATTGATAAAAAGCATCTTCAGAAGCGTCATCTATTTTTAGACGTGATCGTGAACCAAGCAGTATTTCAGTACGAACTCTACAAAGTCTACGAAACAAATGCAGAAAGGTTAGAGAATTTGTTTTCAAATGTATTCGTTCAAGTACACCTAAGCCTAAAGGGACGATCAGGTAAATTTTAATTGTAACTCAACCAAAATCCTCCAAATACCTCCCCCCACCCCCCGCGCTATGCACTTGATAAAATTGTCCCGTCTTTTGTTCCACGTTTTTCCAGCACTTGTGGCCGGTCCAATAATTTTCCCTTTCCGGCAGTCGAAGAATTTGACTTTGTGATCTCACTTGAGATGTTAGGGTGTTCAGTGTCAGAAGAATGGAGCGACTTTTACTGTCTTATTTGCTGTGCAGCAAAATCAAATTACTTTCTACATTCAGTTGAAAATTGCTGAGGTTTCACTACCTGTGAGAAATCTCAGAAAGAGTGGGAAGTGCACTGTCAACATTTTTATCAAGTGTTCATGGAAAGGAAACGTGGATTTTTTTGGATTAAAGAATCATTATCGCGTGTCGAGGAATAAACCTTGGGCCGTGTTCTATTGATTTTAACCGTTTCATTCCCAACCATCATTTGCTGATAACCGGAGCCTGACTTCAAAGAGTCTGCGTAGACGACAGCGGTCGCTACCTACGCTTTTTCACCTAACTCAAACTGGTTCAAAACCGGTTCAAAACGTTTCTCGACCAATTCAGCTGTGCTTAAAAAGGCTTCTTCCTGAACAATACGACCTTAAAAGCGGCTAACATTACAAAACCAAATAAACAGACAAATGGCAGATCAATGAATATAGAGCAGCATTAAATTCTCCTTAACTGAAATAAGAATAGAAATCAGCGAGGAAAAGAAAAAGCGTTTCGATATTTGAGATTACCAGCATTGATAACAGTAACAGCATACAAAAAAGGTAATAAAACTATGAAAAGCTGTAAAAATGTTTATCGTTTCGACTCTTCATTATACTCGTCACAAGACTCTAAGACATCAACATGTTTTCTTGAAAGTTACTTGTAAGACAACGAAAGCTGAATGTTGAACTTGAGCGCATGCGGCACCCAAAATCTAGTGTTATTCTGTAAGGCTAGCGTATTATTGAGATGCCGCTGCGAAATTGCTTGAAATTCCTTTACTGACTGCATCTGTTGCGTAATTAAGATTTTTTTTTTAATTTGAGTTAAAAAAAAGCAAGCCTTCCACAATGGGTGAGATGCACAGGACTACCAATCCCATCCCCACAAGTGTCTTGCTGGCGCTAGACTCAGATTCCTAGCTTGAGATAAACTTCAGGATCGTAGTTGAGCTGTCCTGTAGTTTGTAATGATCTACAAAGGTAGACCAGAGTTTTCCAGGTTCTTCGTAAATCTTCCAGAGCCAGTCCTTGATAGAATCCTTAAACAACGAAACAAGAAGCGTTACTGCGGCGATAATCTATACTCGATCCAACTATCCTCACGTACGTAAATGTAACATTTGCGCTATCCCCTGCCCACCTCCCCACCATTTTTAATGATGCCAAAATGGTGCATTCTGGCCATCGCACACATTCCTTGTTCTACTGAAGAAAGGAAGTGGAATTTGAGCGTAGGATGGGGATCTCTGTTTCATTTTGTTCTGTCCTAAGGCTTGAGGTTTCGCTGTTCAAGCAGCAAAATTTCAAAGGAAAACATAAGAAACAACTGCTGTCTCGCAAGTTAAGCATAAGATTATTTAAAAGTTAATAGAATTCTGTAACAGGAAACAAAAGTAGGAAATAAGAAAACTCGAAACTTATCGATTGCGGAGCTTATTCAAGTACGGGTATCCTGTTGATTTACGCTTTTACAATACCATGACTTACTGCCTTGTGTACTTGTCTACTTGTGTGAGCCATCCTGAAAGCACGCTACCTATTCATCACAATGTCTGCGCATGTGCAGATGTTTGACCGCGGTGTCCCTAAGGTACTTAAATTTTTCCCGCCTTTGTTTTCTTTAGATACGCAAATAACACGATTTTCCCACCTTTTTTGCTGTCGGCATAATTTTCGCGCGCCCCGGTCACCGAAGTCACTTAAAGTTCTCATTGGATCAACACTTTCTTTATCACAGAGATTTTTACCTTGACCAGTTCCTCCTAAATCTTTATTTAGTTTGGTTGATCTACTTTTTAATTTTCATTTGTAGGAAAACTTATTAGTCTGAAACGCCTTTGTCGTCTTTCCATCCGCAAGTTGCTGTCTCCCTGTAGTATTGATATTATCAATTCCCTGAACATTCCTTCCTGCCTCAAATTGTACATTTTAAACGTTGTTCAAAGCAAGAATGTGGACATTATGATGTCAAATTAATTCCCAATTTGTACAGTCATAATTTATTACTGATGGTGAGTAGTGAGGAAGAAACATCCTCACTGAGTTGACTTCAAGCGCTACACTCCTCAGTTTTCCCCACGAAAAGTATAGATGGTCATTTTTGCGGCGAAAAACAATTTCTTGGTTAGCATTCACCTTCAGTGACTTGATGAAAATTCTCCTTACTGACTGCCATTCATTTTCTGTAAAGTTTGTTCTAAGAATTTGGTATTGGATCAACTATTGATCCCATTATTGATAATTTTCTTTATTCTCATCACTCGGCTGCTTGATGTTGTTTTGATACTGTAAGGAGAAATTCTGTCTTGGTCACGTCCTGGAAATGAAAGGCGTAATAGAGAGAATTCCTATCTGTCTCTCTCGTGTGTAGCTCTTGATTGACCATGAATTTGTAAAAATTAAAACATTGTTCACGATAATGCATGTTTGATTTTAATGCATTCATCTGAAAGGGATGTTAACAACGTGATGAGTTTAGTGGGTCCTTTTTGTGATCGCTTTTCGATTGAGTTATGACAAAGTAATTACCACTACGAATTAGAAAAAAAATTAGAATGCAACGAAACGATTGAGATATTGAAGTAAACACATATGAACTCTCTGAAGCGCGGGAAAACGCGGGTGGCAAAGTTGTGGCTACTTTCAGTTTCCGGCATCCGATTGGTCGTGAGGATGGCGCGAGTTTCCTGGACTAATCACTGGGCAAAATGAACCACAACCGACGCAGTTCACCGACAAGATTACGTTGTAGGGAAGCATTAGACACTGCATTGAAAACTGCTCTAGTTTTAAGGTTCACAACGAATCTCCAAGGACTAAGAATGGGTTTGATCACAATCGAATAACGGTCTACGCACTTGTGTTTAGTACAAACCTACAGATTCATATAGTTACTGCTAGTATTCATTTTCGCATCCATCGTATGTCATGAAGTCCGCTCCTCTTTCGCAGTTTCTCAGACTTCGTCGTTTATGTGGAGTTTCTCGAAAAATCACAGGGAAAGTTGCCAGTTTTTCGATAAACGTGGTTATCCTGTCTCTGTCGTTCAAGCGAGCTACCACCGTGTCCAACAACAAGCTACGCAGTTAAATCTATCATTCTTAAAAACTCTAAACGACTTCGAAATGATTCAGAGACTGGTAGTACTACAGTTTCTTTAGCAACTTATTCCCTTTATTAATACATATCACAACCGGAACTCAGTGGGGCTTTTAAACCAGTATTTAACTAATGGGAAAATACAAAACCTACGGAGTATATGAAAAATAGCTATTTTCCAAACTTTACATAAGCAAATAAACAAAAAACGTTCCCTGATCACTATACGTGAGCGTTATGGTAAATTTGCCTAAATTTACGATATAACTAAAAAGTATTTGGAAAATCAGTTCAACGCAACAGCATCGCAATACGATCTTTGAGAAACGAATCAAAATGGTGAAACGTCTAAATTCTCAAATAAAGCTGAAGTTAACGTCATGACTTAGCTAACACTAGATGCAGCAAAGTAAAAAATATTACATAAACTATTACAGTTTCCTTAAAACTAATCATAGGTGGTTCACATTATCTGCTTTGGGTTATGATTTATCCAGAGAACCCCCACCCTTGTCCAGACGCTTAACCACGAGTCAGTCTTTCGTGGTGACTCTTGCCTGATTCTTCGTAGCTGAAGACTGTAGTTGACCCGTCCTGTGGCTGGTATTGGTCTATTCCCGTTGGGGTGAGATTTCCAGTCTGTTTGTCTCTTATCATCCAGTATAGATTGTTGGCGGGATCCTGAACAGTAAAAATCAAAGAAATGTTAGTTAGACGAAACTTTTTGTTAGGAGACTTCTTCTGGATGGTATCTGGATTCAGCAAAAATTTGCGAAAATAAATTTACGATAGAGCGTTGGATGAAGAAGCATTTCTGTTGACATGGAAACCTTACACATACGAAGAGTTTCCGTTTTCAATTCGTGATGCAAGAAATGCTGTTTAAAGTATACGTGACGCGTGAATTTTTTTAAAATTCGTGCGTGAAATGGAATTAAAACACCTCTTCCTCCTGCCCCCCCCCCTTCGATACCCTCTCCTAAGGAAAAGGCAGAAAGAGAAAGAAATCATGAAAATGCAATACCTGTTCAACTTCGTCCATGGCGATGACAAATTCCCCTGTACCACCATAGTAGGTGGTAGAGTACCTATTGAACGGCCCCTCTTTATCTTCGTTTGCAGCTTTCTTCACGATGTCAATAAGAAACGTACCTTGAGGAACCTTTGTGGTGTAGGGGGCAGGGATTGGTTTGTCCACGATCTTTGTATCCCAGTGCAGTGCAATTGTAACAGTGATCATTTGGCCCATCTCGTTCTAAGTAGATGCAAAATGTCACTTTTGTTATGATGGTGCTGTGAAACTGTGATGATGTCTGTGAAGGTTCGAATCCGTTCTCAGGGCTCTCTGACTCATCCTCCGAGTAAGAGAGTCCCGTCACAAACTTTACCGAAATGAGCCATCATCAGTAACCTTTGAATCACGCTTCGCCGTGTTAGCCATGATATAAGGAAATTTTATAGTTTTCTAGCAAGAAAAATGTCACCCTGTTTCATTTCAATCAACATAATGGCTCTCATCAGTTAAAGACCACAAAAACAGCTCGGCTGCCAAAACCAATCAAACTAAAATATATCATATGCACTCAATACAAAGATTGCCGAGTTAATCCGGAATAAAACAGTTAAGTCTCCTCGATTAAAAGACAGACCGGTTTGACATTCATTTTATCGTTCTAAAACCAACGCAACGTTTTCTCCATTGCTCCTTTTGTAAAGTCTCTGCTTTGCGGCTATGAACTCCAGCTTTTATATCTTGATACGAGGTTACAATGGCGTGAGAAATTGAGTCAGCCAAGTATACTTCCTTAACGATAGCAAGCTCACAAATAAATGACGTCACCATCATGGCAACGGCACGCTTCAAGTTGCATGGATTTCTGTTTGTTCAGACTTGTGAAAAATAAGCGACACGACGAAAGCAAAACTGCAAGTACAAAGCTCACAACTAAATGACGTCACCATCATACAAAAGGCATTGAATTCCGTTCACCAATAAACAACAATGGCAACGGCACGTTTCAAGTTGCATGAGTTTCTGTTTGTTCAAGCTCGTGAAAAACAACCAACACGACGAAAACATTTTTCTCAACTTCTTAATTGAAATTCAATTCTGCTCAGCAAATAAACTCTCAAAAGTTGTTAGTCCGGTCTACAAAGCTATGGTTGGAGTTCTACTACGAAACACTTTCAGCCAGTAGTTGCGACTTGCGCGTCACTTGAAATCGGAGCATTTCACGGATGATCGGTGGCCAGCGATAAACAGGAAAAAGTTCGCACATCGTGATTCACACAAATTTCCTAATACAGCTTATGCATCTAACTTCGATAACACAGGAAAAGTCCATTGAGACTTCTTCCTTTAAACTAAACCTATACCCCCAAAAAATTAGAGCTTAATCGTCACTACAGCGTAACCTTGCGAACAAACAAAATTAATGTAACAATTTTATCAACATTCATCTACGACAAGAGAATGTCAACTGTTTGACAAGTCTACTTTGCGGCTCTGAACTAGAGCTTTTATATCTTGTCTTGGTGCGAGGTTACGATGGCGTGAGAAATCAATTCATTCCAAGTTTATCCTTAACGATCACAAAACCGCAAGCACAAAGCTCACAACCAAATGACGTCTCCATTGTAGAAAAGGCATTGAACCATCATAGCAACGGCACGTTTCAAGTTGCATGAGTTTCTGTTTGCTTAAACTCGAGAAAAACAACCAACACGACGAAAACATTTTTCTCAACTTCTTAATTGAAATTCAGTTCTGCTCAGCAAATAAACTCTCAAAAGTTGTTAGTCCGGTCTACAAAGCTATGGCATGAGTTCTACTACGAAACACTTTCACTAAGTAGTTGCGACTTACGCGCCACTTGAAATCGGAGCATTTCAGAAATGATCGGTGGCCAGCGATAAACAGGAAAAAGTTCGCACATCGTGATTCACATAAATTTCCTAATATATCTGATGCATCTAACTTCGATAAAACAGGAAAACTCGACCGAGACCTCTTCCCTTTAAATTAAACCTATACAGCAAAAAAATTAGAGCTTACCCGTCACTACAGCGCAACCTTGCCAACAAACAAAATTAATGGAACAATTTTATCAACATTCATCTACGACAAGAGAATATCAATATCCGAAAATCGATTTCAAAGATTAGCTCAACACAACGACTTACTGTGTTCCGCGAAGCAAATCAGCTTTATAGTTTTCTCACAAATTTCTAGGCAGGTCAGGAACGTTAGTCCGCAAATTTGATAGGCTCGTTATATACTCGTACTCAATTCACCCTTTTTAAGACACGGATCATGGTTGGGCGATCGATTTACCTTTGTAGGTAAATACAAATAAACTCTCAAAAGTTAGTCCGGTCTACAAAGCTATGGCTGGAGTTCTACTACGAAACAGTTTCATTCAGTAGTTGCGACTTGGAAATGCGCGTCACTTGAAATCGGAGCACTTCACGCATGATCGGTGGCTAGCGATAAACAAGAAAAAGTTCGCACATCGTGATTCGCCTAAATTTCCTCATATACCTTATGCATCTAACCACGATAAAACAAAAAAAACTCCATTGAGACCTCTTCCCTTTAAACTAAACCTATAGAGCAAAAAAATTGGAGCTTACTCGTCACTACAGTGCAACCTTATAAACAAAATCATTGTAATAATTCTATTCAACATTCATCTACGACAAGAGAATATCAACTGTTTATAATCTCTTTTCTACGATTATTCAGTTTTTCTTACCTTTATGAAATTGAGTAGAAGTTAATTTTTGTTAGATTATCTGTTGATGGTCGATGGAAATCTGGAGAGGGTAACTGACGCCTACAATATCCGAAAATCAAATTGAAAGATTAGCTCAACACAACGACTGACTGTGTTCCGCGAAAAAAAAACAGTTTTATAGTTACTCGGGCGTTCCAAAAGAAACTCCGGGCCTATTTCTCCCCTCGTTCAGTCACAAATCGCCGTTTGAGCTTTAAAGCGTATGCGAAGAGTAAGACATCGGAGCGGTCGCTGAACGCTGTGCGCATCGCTGAGCACATAGTAAGTAGAGTGACGTTCCATGACTTCAAGGAGCTGAAGTCACATAGAAACGAGCACGCCGTTCGCGGTAGACCCACAAGAAAAGAAGTTCAGCATTTTCGGAACGGGTCGGTCCGCATGCCTTCCGAGAGATCTATTTGGGAGCGAACATTTATGAGTGAACCTATCGAGAATCTTGTTATACTAAATGAGCTATCAAATCTGAATATTGATAAAAAGCATCTTCAGAAGCGTCATCTATTTTTAGACGTGATCATGAACCAAGCAGTATTCCAGTACGAACTCTACAAAGTCTACGAAACAAGAGCAGAAAGGTTAGAGAATTTGTTTTCAAATGTATTCGTTCAAGTACACCTAAGCCTAAAGGGACGATCAGGTAAATTTTAATTGTAACTCAACCAAAATCCTCCAAATACCTCCCCCCACCCCCCACGCTATGCACTTGATAAAATTGTCCCGTCTTTTGTTCCACGTTTTTCCTGCACTTGTGGCCGGTCCAATAATTTTCCCTTTCCAGCAGTCGAAGAATTTGACTTTGTGCTCTCACTTGAGATGTTAGGGTGTTCAGTGTCAGAAGAATGGAGCGACTTTTACTGTCTTATTTGCTGTGCAGCAAAATCAAATTACTTTCTACATTCAGTTGAAAATTGCTGAGGTTTCACTACCTGTAAGAAATCTCAGAAAGAGTGGGAAGTGCACTGTCAACATTTTTATCAAGTGTTCATGGAAAGGAAACGTGGATTTTTTTGGATTAAAGAATCATTATCGCGTGTCGAGGAATAAACCTTAGGTCGTGTTCTACCGATTTTAACCGTTTCATCCCCAACCATTATTTGCTGACAACCGGAGCCTAACTTCAAAGAGTCTGCGTAGACGACAGCGGTCGCTACCTACGCTTTTTCACCTAACTCAAACTGGTTCAGAACCGGTTCAAAATGTTTATCGACCAATTCAACTGTGCTTAAAAAGGCTTCTTCCTAAACAATACGACCTTAAAAGCGGCTGACATTACAAAACCAAATAAACAGACAAATGGCAGATCAATGAATATAGAGCAGCATTAAATTCTCCTTAACTGAAATAAGAATAGAAATCAGCGAGGAAAAGAAAAAGCGTTTCGATATTTGAGATTACCAGCATTGATAACAGTAACAGCATACAAAAAGCCTAACAAAACTATGAAAGGCTGTAAAAATGTTCATCGTTTCGACTCTTCATTATACTTGTCACAAGACTCTAAGACATCAATATGTTTTCTTGAAAGTTACTTGTAAGACAACGAAAGCTGAATGTTGAACTTGAGCGCATGCGGCACCCGAAATCTAGTGTTATTCTGTAACGCTAGCGTACTACTGAAATGCTTCTACGAAATTGCTTGAAATTCCTTTACTGACTGCATCTAAATAACAGCCAGCCTTCCACAATGGCTGAGATGCACAGGAAAATAAAATCAGAGGCAAGGTGCCAGTTTTTCGATAAACGTGGCTATCCTGTCTCGGTCGTTCAAGCGAGCTACCACCGTGTCCAACAAATTGATCGACAGTCAGCACCACAAACGTCACTGAAGGAAAATACCGATCGCATTCCATTCACTCTCACATTTTTACCCTCACAGCTACGCAGTTAAATCTATCATTCTTAAAAACCTTTGATGACTTCAAAATGACTCAGAGACTGTTAGCACTACAGTTTCTTTAGCAACTTACTCCCTTTATTGATACATATCACAACCGGAACTCAGTGGGGCTTTTCAACCAGTATTTGACTAATGAGAAAATACAAAACATATGGAGTATATGAAAAATAGCTATTTTCCAAACTCTACATATCAAAAGCAAATAAAAAAAAACGTTCTCTGATCACTATACGTGAGCGTTATGGTAAATTTGCCTAAATTGACGTTATAACTAAAAAGTATTTGGAAAATCAGTTCAATGCAACAGCATCGCAATACGATCTTTGAGAAACGAATCAAAAGGTGAAACGTCTAAATTCTTAAGTAAAGCTGAAGTTAACATCATGACTTAGCACTAGATACAGCAAAGTAAAAAAATATTATATAAACTATTACAGTTTTCTTAAAACTAATCATGGTGGTTTACATTATCTACTTTGGGTTATGATTTATCCAGAGGACCCCATCCTCGTCCAAACGCTTAACCACGAGTAAGTCTTTCGTGGTGACTCTTGCCTGTTTCTTCATAGCTGAAGACTGTAGTTGACCCGTCCTGTGGCTGGTATTGGTCTATTCCCGTTGGGGTGAGATTTCCAGTCTGTTTGTCTCTTATCATCCAGTATAGATTGTTGGCGGGATCCTGAACAGTCAAAATCAAAGAAATTTTAGTTAAAGGAAAATTTTTGTCATGAGACTTCTTCTGGATGGTATCTGGATTCGGCAAAAATTTGCGAAAATAGATTTACGAAGAGCGTAGCATGAAGAGGCATTTGACACATATGAAGAGTTTCCGTTTTCAATTCGTGATGCAAGAAATGCTATTTAAAGTATACGTGACGCGTGAATGTTTTTTCTAATTCGTGCGTGAAATGGAATTAAAACACCTCTCCCAAGGAAAAGGCAGAAAGAGAAAGAAATCATGAAAATGCAATACCTGTTCAATCCCGTCCATGGCGATGACAAAATCCCCTGTACCACCATAATAGGTGGTGGAGTATTTATTGAACGGCCCCTTAACATCTTCGTCTGCAGCTTTCTTCATGATGTCAATAAGAAACGTACCTTGAGAAACCTTTGTGGTGTAGGGGTCAGGGATTGGTTTGTCCACGATCTTTGTATCCCATTGCAGTGCAATTGTAACAGTGATGAGGACCATCTCGTTCTAAGTAGATGCAAAATGTCACTTTTGTTATTTTGGTGCTATGAAACTGTGATGATGTCTGTGAAGGTTCAACTCCGTTCCCAGGGCTCTCTCTGACTCATCCTCCGAGTAAGAAAGAGCCTTGGGAACGAGATTGATGGAGATTAAAAGATAGTCCCGTCACAAACTTCACCGAAATGAGCCATTATTAGTAACCTTTGAATTACGCTTCGCCATGTTAGCCATGATATAAGGCAATTTTATGGTTTTCTTGCAAGAAAAATGTCACCCTGTTTCATTTCAATCAACATAATGGCTCTCATCAGTTAAAGACCACAAAAACAGCTCGGCTGCCAAAACCAATCAAAATAAAATATACATCGCATGCACTCAATACAAAGATTGCCGAATTAATCCGGAAAAAGTCTCCTCGAGCAAAAGACATACCGGTTTGACGTTCATTATATCGTTCTAAAACCAACGCAACTATTTCCCGATTGCTCCTTTTGTAAAGTCTCCGCTTTGCGGCTCTGAACTCGAGCCTTTATGTCTTGATACGAGGTTACAATAACGTGAGAAATCGAGTCAGCCAAGTTCTCTTCCTTAACGATCGTGAGCTCACAAATAAATGACATCACCATCATGGCAAGGGCACGCTTCAAATTGCATGAATTTCTGTTTATTCAGACTTGTGGAAAACAAGCGACACGACGAAATCAGTTTTTCTCAACTTCTTAATTTAACTTAAATTACCCATCATAGCAACGGCACGCTTCAATTTGCATGAATTTCTGTTTGTTCAGGCTCGTGAAAAACAAGCCACACGAAGATGACATTTTTCTCGACTTCTTAATTAAAATTGAATTCCGTTCAAATTTAACTCAAACAGGAAAACTCGACCGTGACTTCTTCCCTTTAAACTAAATCTATACAGCGAAAAAATTGGAGCTAACTGTCACTACAGCGCAACCTTGCAAACAAACAAAATTAATGGAACAATTTTATCAACATTCATCTACGACAAGAGAATATCAATATCCGAAAATCGATTTCAAAGATTGGCTCAACGCAACGACTGACTGTGTTCCGCGAAGCAAATCAGAAGCTTTATAGTTTTCTCACAAATTTCTAGGCAGGTCGGAAACGTTAGTCCGCAAATTTGATAGGCTCATTACATACTCGTACCCAGTTCACCTTTTTGAGACACGGATCATGATTGGACGATCAATTTACCTTTGTAGGAATATACTGGCTTTCCGACCACAAGACAGACCACTTTGATCGATCAATGGTCTAATACCAATGCAACCTTATTTTCGATTGCCCGTTTTGTCAAGTCTCTATTTGCGGCCCTGAACTAGAGCTTTTATGTCTTGTCTTAGTGCGGGGTTACGATGGCGTGAGAAATCGAGTCAGCCAAGTTTATCCTTAACGATCACAAAACCGCAAGTACAAAGCTCACAACTAAATGACGTCACCATCATACAAAAGGCATTGAATTCCGTTCACCAATAAACAATCAAGTGAGTTTGTCCGCCTGACAAATTTACCTAAATTTACTGCGAAACCATGCCTCGTTGAAGGCATGAGCGGGCCGGGAACCTCACAACTAAATGACGTCACCATCATACAAAATACTGGCATTTTGAATTCCGTTCAGTGGATTTGTAACCCTCAATTACACTCGTTCATCACCTTTGAAGCGAGAAGATGCCACTTGAATACAAGAAATAAGGAGGCACTTGTTTGCAAATGTTTCTCTGACCTAAGATCACCTTCTACAAGCTATAGGGTAAGCAATCGAATATGTTTGAATCTCGTTCCCTGGTTGCATCATTTTCGAACGCTTTTTCGCCCTCTTAAGGACCAGTCGTTTATTTATAGCCGGTGGGGGGGATCAGTTGTCGCCAAAAACGGGAGGGGAGACTATAGAAATTGGCTGCCAATTATTAAGCATTAAGCAATGAGACGGGGGGGTGGGTAACATAAGAATATTACAGAGCCTGAAGGGAAGATCAGGTAAATTTTAATCGTAACTCAAACAAAATCCTCCAAATCCCTTCCCTTTGACTTTGCGTCTCCACTAGAGATGTTGGGGTGTTCAGTGTTAGAGGAATGGAACGACTTTTACAGTCTTATTTCCTCGGTTGTGCAGCAAAATCAAATTACTTCCAACATTCCGTTGAAAATTGCTGAGGTTTCAATACCTGTGAAAAATCTCTAAAAGAGTGGGAAGTGCACTGATAACATTCTCATCAAGTGTTCATGGAAAGGAAACATGGATTTTTTGGATTAAGTAATCATTATCGTGTGTCGAGGAATAAACCTTGGGCCGTGTTCTACTGATTTTAACCGTTTCATCATGCTGCGTGTTTGTTGACATCACTACAAGTTCCAGTGTGCTACAACTTCGGCTTTTACAGACGAGAAATTCTGCGCTCTCGCTTGAGAGCAAATATCAATAGTTCTATTAGACTAAAAACTGTGCTTCTATCCCGAAAATAAAATTAAAATAGAGTTGTCGTTGTCACTTAGCGCCATCGAACATTTCCATGCAGAACTCCGCTAAGCTAACATCTGTTGCGTGACCCGAAGATTCTCCTTAGGAATATTCAAGCGCGTTGTTCATGCTGTCTGCTAGATAGCAATTTGAGAATAATCTGCAGATCTCTATGATTATTTGCCTGCTTCGATCGTAAAATATCTGCAAATTTTTTCAAGCATTCTATTGCTACATATAAATCTGCATCTCTCTAGATCGAGTGTTGCCGGCGTTTAATTGCGTGACTTATAAAATTTATTAAGAATGAGCCAGCAGTATTTTGACCAGTAGGCTTCCTGCAAATTTCCCTTGATGAAATCCCAAGACAAAGTCAGTTGTTTTCGTGAGCAAAGACAATAAATATGAAAGAAAAGTGAGATGCAAATGTCGTTATTTTTTTTCTAGCTTTATAGCAGCAGTACCCTCTGCTGCAGTCTTCGTCTAAATTTTGCAAGGTCCCTCCTTATCTTCTGCCTTGTTCGGTCAGTTTCGACTTCTGAAGCTAGATCATCGGCATCGACCTCTTCGTCATCATTCATATTTACAGAGAGGGACCTCGTCAGTAAACCAATTTTTGTTACGGCAGATAACCGCCTGAAGTATCGAGCGATTTGCTGCTCTATCAACCGGTCAGTCTTAGACAACATTTCTGGTTGGTGTCGTCTCTTAAACTCGATATTTGGGAAATCTTTCTGAGAAAAGGTGGCTGTTTTCTGTGTTTTCCAAAGAGCCCATCCAAAGTCCACTTGGCTAGTTGGGGATTGTTCGTCAGAATTTTACCTGAGGTCCGTCCTTGAACGTAGCCATCCCCTATAGAATGGCAAGCCGGTCTTCGTCTATTTCCTCTTGATCTTATCATAAGCGGATTCTTTTTTGTCAGCTTCACTGTGTTTGTCTTTGTTAGGGTGCTTTTGGATGGCAGTCAATGACTGAAACGTCTCGATACGTTCTTCCTTATAGCAAGAATATCTCGCTTTCTTGTTCTGTCTGTGACGGATTGGATATAGTTCTCGCAGTGACCCGCGTTCAGAGATCTGTGCACGTTACCGATAACCACCCGCTTCTACGATTAGTTTGCTGAAGGTTTCTAATGTGATGAGCCTAGTGAGACCCTGAGGTGCTTCAAACTGTGTCAGTTGGTCTGAGCTCTAAACTTGTCGCAGTTCTTAAGTCAGAGGGAGGATCGCCCACCTCTATTTATGTGAGCGCCTCTACAGTACCTGCGTATCCCTAGCAATCATATGATATAAAGTTCATCTCAGTCACAAATCACCAGTTAGGAAAACTGATGTTCAGATAAGCGCTCTTCTTGCCCTTCTTCCTTATTCATTGCCGACTCCAAGATAGCAGTTACAGTATGCGTTCTATTAGGTTTACAGTCACCTTGCCACCAGGAAGACTCGCCACCAGCTTTGATTTCTTCTGCCATCTTCAGATTCACCTCTCTCTCAACTTTACGTCTCCGATTTTTATGAGGAGGATACTGGCATTTACGAACCCGAAGGTCTGAATCTCACACTAAGTTGTGCACGATATTTGAGGCATATCGTGAAATCGCGGTCTTCGTAACTCTCCAAATAAGCCAATACGCGCTAGAATAAGCTTCTTTTCGGACGAAACGCATGTTTGGGATACATCAACGTCTCTCAATTTTTTTTTAAGCTGTACACCCACGAATTTATAGGTATGAGCTGTTGCTGTCCCTGGCCAGCGCGAGAAAAATAACATTTGGTTCTACAGTTAGTTGCAAATGAGCAAGACAACTGCAACATCTTGACTCTATCAATTCGAGTGTTAGGTTGAATTGAGGGCTTTTTAGACACTTGATTTCTTATATGGCATCACTATGAAGACGTAATACAACTGATACACCTACACTACATAGGATTAACAATGTCTGTTGCGCTGTTGCGAGAAGGAGGAAAATATTACCGGAGGTGTTAACTCTTTAAGAGTTTCAGAGACGTTTCAGAGATGTCTATCTTCGGCTGTCACAAAAAATTGACCCCACTTAAATTCACTGGGAAAAATTCCAAACTCCTTGTTGAAAAAATTGAAATGCATTTGACCGATACGCCGGTTGTTTCAAGTTTGCTTTTTCCTCGCGCTGTTATAAAACAGTTCATAAATTGACCAATAAATAAAATATTTTGAACTACCGTTCGGAATTTGCCTTTTCTTTTCTGCGTGCAAATCAAGGGTAGCCAAAGTTTTTAAAACATTTGACAAGAATTCCATGGGGTTCACCTCGATAATTTTCGTCGGTCAGAGTCAAGACGCGCCAAGCTAAGCGACATCGCCCTCGAGTAAAATAATTTTCCAAAGAATAAATGTGGCGTGCGTGAGGAAACGCACATTTTTTTCATTATTGTGATCAAAGCCCAATGATGTACCTAAATGGGTAGTTACAGTATCAAACCATTGATTATGACAGGGTAAGCTAAATTTTTCTGTCGAGGTCGACGTGACTTCACATTAAAAGCGTTTTTGACGGAACAAATAAGTGAGCATCACCGCACGAACTGAGAAAGTAAAAACTTGTATTTATCTCCCACAAGTTTCGTCTGACAAGAGTAGACTTCATCAAGGATTTTTTCAAGTAGGGCAAATAAGCTTGTTCATATACAAATAATAAATAAGTTGTTTCTTTACTATGGAAGCCAGTGGATAGAATTCGCTAGGTGCGCCCACGGTGTGATATATGCGTGATATTTTCCGGACGTTACATGTACGAATACGTGATCCGTTTGAGGGTCACAGATTTAGTGTAAATATTTGACCCCTCAACATCACGTAATGTCTCTAGTTTACAGAGGTCTTAGAACGTTTCATTACATGGATTTGCCTTCTGTGGTTAGAAGGCTAAAAGCGAATTTCTCAGGCGTAATTGCCTTTGATTTCTCAATTGATGTTGTCGCAAACACAGTTTTTGGGAGTCACGAAACAAAAAAACTTATCAGGACCTAGTTTCATGTTCTAATGGAAATAGAAAGCAAATAAAAACACATTCTCTTGAGAAATAAAGTTGTAAATAACAGGGGTTCTCTGAAACAAATAGTGATAGAAAAGAGTTTAAGTTCTGGTCAATATTGACTTTTCATAGCCTACTTCCAAATCTGAGGGAACGCGCTGAGGGAATAAAAAAACATAAATGTGTGATAATGCAAGGCAGAGAATAAAAATACAAATAAAGAAAAAGAAGCAAACATAGGAACCCGTGTTGCAGCGTGCAGATATCTTTTGAGCCAGACCTACACACCTAAGCCCGACACCACCCAAAGAAACTCGAAAGAGTGCTGTATATGAACTGGCACGCACGTGCACGCAGGAAAGGCCATGACAATCGGCGAAAATAATAGCAAATGTAGATGATATTTACAGTCAAAAAACAGGAAAATAAGATAACAGAAGGATTAAGAACTTTCTAGAAGTGTCTTCTTGAAAAAAAAAGGATAAACAATTTTTACTTCTCATGAAAGGTCACGCAGTCACGCAACAAATACTACTTCTACGTGGAATTTCTTGATGGTGGAAAGTGGAAAAAACATTTTCCAGTCTTATTTTCTGGAAACATGACGCCGTTACAATGAATTTTATGGGGCTATTGATATTTCCTATCAAATAAGGGGGGCAGAGTTTCCCGTCATCCGCGGTATGGAAAAGCCGAAGTTGTTACACACAAGAACTTGTACTTCAACAAGCTCGCGACAAAATCTCCTCTCCTGTTGCAGTTTCCTTATTATTTGTGCGATAATGATAATAGACGATCAAATTATAGGCTAATGAATGTTTTGTTCTGTAACAAGAGCCCTATTTCCTGATTTTAGCAAATCTCCAAAGTAATAAACGACAAGAGAAAGAAACGCTACGATTTTCCCATCGATTTTTCGCCCACATGTATCTCTCTAAACGTGAAATTTTCTATTCCTACAAAAAATCTCGAAAATTTTTCACATTTTTCACTTTTCTTGATCAATCATCTTGTATAAAGAGCCAAAAAATGTAGGTTTATTTGGTCAAGCGACCGCCTAAAGCAAGAATTGCGTGACAGGTGTAGTTGAGAGAAACTTGTCACAGTCGCAGATTTTAAAAGTCATTCAAGACAAAAATACGGTAGCGCCCAAAGATTTTTTTGATAATTTTCAGAGATGAAATAATGGGTTATAAAGGGGAATCAAGATTAGTGTTGTAGCTTTCTGGCAAGGGGAGATATATGACCTCAAAGTTGTGAAATATTTGGATGAATCGAAAAGTCTAAAAACACAGTTGTTTCTTTGCCTCTGTTGATTGACAAGCCGTCAATCAAATTGACTGATACTTGCGGCGAACATTAACTAAGGATGGAAAAATATGTGTGCAAATCCTCAGAGTAATTGGTTAAATACCATCGCAGTGAGAGCTTCATACATTTTACCTATTTTGAAGCGATTTCCTTGGTGAAAACCAAGAAAAACCGGGGAAGGGGTGGTCTATCTCCCCCCAGAAAAACCAAAACAGAAACCGGTTTGTCTTTTTGAGTTTTGAGGTAGACCCTTTAAACTGGCGAAGTTTCATTGAAATTGGTGAGATGGCATGTAGCACGACTTTCCGGTGCTCTCGTGGACAGGCTCTTAACAAAATGTCTGCATTCTATTATTGGTGGTATATATCTGGACCCTCATTATTTTTTTTTAAAGATGAAAGTTTACCTTGGAAACTTACCAAAGCATTTCGTTGCGCAAGCAAGGAAACTTCTTCAAGCACCAAAAATGCCCCTTGAGATGGTATCTCTCACATCTAATACTAAAGCATGCATTGAAGAATATTTACCAACTTAACTTTTAGCTAATTAATAATTTTTGTAACGCCAACGAGGCATTGATATTTGGTTGATAGAGGTACTGTTAAAGAAGGATATATAGTTTTTACATTTGAATGCATTTAACACATAATACAACATGCTTGTCATCAATAACATTAAATTATGTTTTTATATGAAACTGAATGTGCTCAGAGGTGATTTTAAGTTACCATTTTGATTGATATTTATTTCCCCTGGTTTTCAGCTTTTGAAAGGTAGCAGAATTTGAAGTGAATACAAGTCAAAGAGATATAAAAGTCAAGCGAAATAGAAGTTGTGCAGCAATGCCTCCCCTGTTGTTTGTGAAGGAGAGAAATAAGTTGGGTCTTGTTCATTTTGCAGAGTCCTTTCTTCCTCTGTATTTCTTTGCAAATCCCTCATTTCATGTATCAGCTTTTGCGTTTCTTCCTCTAGATCATTAAAATTTTTCTTTCAGTTTGAAAGCTCATTTTTTGTGAGATGAAGGTCCCTTTCCGCTCCCTCAATAGACACTAGTTCACTGTATAGAATGCTTAAAGTGAGATATTTTGACTAAACCTGTTCCCTTTTTCTCCCTTTGGTTTGCCTAAAGTATATTTGCTTGCCACAACTCTTGCTTCTCTTTCTAGCCAGCCTTGGATAGGGTAGCCTGTCTCTCAACTAACTCCAAACCATGATCTGGAAACCAAAGAAATTCAATATAATCACATCCATCCTGAACATTTTCATGCCATATATTTAGTAATAGGTATGATATATTTACTGCCTGTTTAATATATGATAAAGTTGGATCTGGGACAAAGATTTTCCATTCATAGCTTCTCTGCATGTACCTTGAAATTACATCTGACATTGCTGTAATGTATTTTGGGTTCTTATATTTTATGTGAAGGAAATCTGCATTTCTGAAATCAAATTTACAAGTGTGTAAATCTAGGCTTTCTATAACAAGTCCTCGTTCCTCGATGTATTAGAACGCACGTGTCTGATAAACCGTTCATTCAAATCTCCAGTTCTTTCAATGGGTATACATTCTGTGCCCACACACATGGCGTATCTATACAGCCGAATAAGCCAGGTTACAAAGTTTGTTTTGGGAGAAAGAAGATGGAAGCCTGTCGTAAAGAAATTTTGCGCAAGACCACGGTGGTTTCTCGAACTCCACACACACTCATATTGGTCCATTTGCAGACGTATTTACAGGATAAAATTTGCCTTTTTTAAGTTCCCTTGGAACTTATTTCCTGCATGGGCAGAAGCCGCGAAATACATTAACAGAAACTGCAACAACAGGAGAATGTTATATGAGGTCGGGGAAACACTTTTTGTCATAAGACGCCTAACCTTACGACCTTTGATTGAGGATATCTCAGACAAATCTCAGACACTTGAACGAGTTACACTGGAGCAAAAACACCCTATTTGATACACATTTGGACCTTACAAGGAAGTTTCGTTGATTTATCTATTTATATTTTCGAATTTGTCAGATGTTCTGGAAAAAAATGAGGTCGGGGAAACATGCGCAGCATCTCGAGGTATTTTTATTTTTCAATTTAGTTCATTGTTCCATACATGTTATTGTAACGCTCCAGCCATTTTTAAATACTCCGTTCCCAAGCAGCAAACCACCACTGCCGCCATTTTGTCCGTCATTTCTGGCAATGAATCCAATTAATGAGAAGGAGTCAAAAATACCTTCTGACAATACAAATGCGCAACCAATGGCAAGTTGTTAGCAAGGAAAAGAAAAGGATTTAAAAAACAAAAACAAAGGAACAATGAGGATGGGACACAGTCCGTTGCTAAGGTCTCCGATAATTCCATTACTGTTGCCGACAAAAATTCGATTGATTACAAATTCGTACTCTTCTTTTGTCACAGTTCATTCATGCCTTTTGTTCTGTGCGCATAACTTTCATCAATATTCTGTTACTCTTTCCTGCATAATTCCCTTTTGTTTATGTGTCTTGTATTAGTCTTTACCGCGGATTTTATTCATTCGGATCAACCGTTTAACTATTCGAACCGTCTAACTGTTTATACCGTCTCTGTCGATCGCTTTATGCCGCTTTACGTTGCTTTACGTCGCTTTACATCGTCTTTAATTTGGCAGTTGACCCAGATCTCGTGTGACGTTTGTAAGTGTCTTTTGTTTTCCTTTATTTTTGTTTTCTCGTTTGTTAATTTCTTTACCTTGAATTGTGACAACTATAACTTGTAATCCATTTCTTGCAACCGGTTACGTATTTATTACTGAACTTCGTTTCGTTTAGCCATTTTGGAAGTGAAGTTGGACATGTAACGAGTATTTGTGCCTACAACACTGATGTACAACCCTATCAATTGGAGCTTCCTTAACAAAGACAAATATATGTTGTAAAAAGCTAGAAAAAGCCGTTGGCCATCCAGCAGTGGTCAAGTTATTCTGTAGGGCCACCTCAAAAGCTATGAAGGCCAACCTCAAAGCTAGCCTGAAGCATTCGCCGGACCAAGTCGTTCTCTATGTCGACTCCAATAACCTTAAATATAAAAAGTGTTGCAAGATGCTGAATCAATCATAGACAAATCGAAAATTCATCCGACGCCACCTCCGCTATATCGAGGCTTACTTCCACATGGGATGAATTCAATAGAGCAGTGAAAGATGCGAATAAACATCTAAAGAGCTACTGCCGTCAGAATGGAAGGAAACTTATCCAGCATCTAAAGATAATAGAGAACGGCCTAATCAAGGGAGGACTGCATCTTAGTTATAAAGGTAATCAAAACATTTTCAACAACTTTAACGCGCTCTCCGCAGATTTCCTGCGTGCTCAGTGTATTAAATCCAACAGTGAATCCCGTATACTGAATGAAAGTGGTAGAGAGGGTCCAACATAGGTTTGGTAGGATGCAGGATGAGGCTTAGGAATACGAGATAGGTTAAAGGCGAGATGCGGGATGAAGATAGGAAGGCGAGACCAGGACATACTCCGATTCGAATGCGGGATAGGGGTTGGGACAGGTATAGGCGAGCTCATAAAAAGTATTTCTTTGCTTTAGAAACGGGCTTAATTAATGCTCCCGTGTAAATTGAGGTTGACATGCCTAGATGATTCAGTAGTACGTCCAGTTTTCTCTGTATTAGCTACAAATGTTTACACGAAACACCATGGTATATTCAGTTTTCTCGCCCTCGCAATTTTCTCACACGAGTATGTCTGAGTGATCATTTGTTTCTGTATGATATTATCGGTTTTTTGAGGATTTCTCTTTGCAATGGTTATTGCTGTACTAAATGCCACTTGCTCATAGGGAGTTTTTGTAAGGTTTGGAGATTTGAAACTGTTGGATAGTATTGTCGGTCAGCGCAGGAAAGGGCTTGAACTTTATTACAAATGATATATTTCTATTATCAAAATACGATGGAACTACAACTGATAGGATTTTCCTATGATAAGAAAAGCGCAAATGAAGTCATGTGGAAAGACAAGGAGTATGAGTACATCTCAAGCGCGTTAAATAAACAACAATAAGGAGCTCACCATTCTTCGCTTACGAAATGTCAGCTGAAAGGAATGAATGAATCGTGTACGGTATGAGAACAGGCCCTCTAATCAGCATTACTTATAAAAACAGTTGAACTATTTTTCCTGTTAAAAAAAGGCATGTTCCCGGCCTCTAAAATTCAAAAATTATTATTTATTTATTTATTTATTTATTTATTTATAAATTTATTTCATTTATAATTATAAATGAATTCATTATAATAATAATAATAATAATATTAATAGCAACAACAAAATTTATTTAGCGCCATTTCCATGTAGCCCAATGGCGCTTTACAATCAAAAAAGAAATAGAAAAGTAAATCTAACCTGCTTATGATGAACAAATATGTAAATACATGGTATCCAGTCGTTTCGTACCCATGGATCTTTCGTACCCAGACGATTCGTACGCAGGCTTAGACGTTTCGTACGTACTTTCGATTAGTTCGTGCCCAACTCTCTGGTCGATTCGTACCCAAGAAATTATGACACAAAATGTTTAAAACAAGCATAGAAATTCATTTCATTTATCCTAGTAATCGTTAAAAAGCTAATTTCTAAACACAAAAACATTAAAAAGCTATCTTTTAGTTAATACTCTTGAAAAATCGTGAACTAGTTCACACATCCTTATATATTGCCTACTACCACGCAGCACCTACGACTAAACGTACTTATTCTACATAGGAAGTAGAACGTGTGGCAACAGGCCCTCTAATCAGCATTATTTCGCGAGGGCCATATCTATTGCTCAGAAAAATAAAATAACATAAAATGATGCATAAAAAATGGTCTATTCAGGAAAACTCGCTAAGCACTGAGGTGGATAATTCCTAATTTTAAATACAGCCATTATCTATACTTTTAAGCAAGTTAAAAGTGGGGGCATATAAATCTCCAACGAAACGGAGTTACATTTAGTCTTTCGAGTCCCAATGAAGCCCAAAATCCTTGAAATTACAAGGTTTCAATGATACGAGAGGTCTGAGAACTAATTTTACATACTGGCTTGGCCTCTTGATCGAAATTTGCATTAAGATGTCGGGTTTAACCGTTGTTTTGTGGTAATGAGGTTAGCATCGTAGCAATCGTAATGTAGGCAGAATCTTTTTGTTAAGTCTCTTGGTTTTTTTAAAAAAGAAAAGTTGAAGCTCTTAACTCGGAGAATGGGCTATTTTTGGTGGAATGATCAGCATCTTTCCAAAGTGCCAGAGGGTTGTTTACGTCTCTGATCTTAGAAATCTTGTACTGCGCTGGTTTACTCTTGACTTGGGAAGCATTTTCAAGTAAAGATTTCGTGCCATTAGGGTTTTAGCTGGTGATGGGAAGGGTCGTAATGAAGCGGGAACGGCCTCACGAGGATGAAGACCTCGAAGAAAAAAGAATACCGAGTGAGTTCCCTCCAGTTTACAGTGTTTGTGGCCGAAGGCGAAGTCTGGGGAACATACGGACACTTGGTGAGCCAAACGAGGCGAGTCATCTAATATTTGATAGATCTTGAATTTATTCGTACAAACATTCTAATTCTTATGATAAAGCACAGGAGCTTATGTGTTGTTTCAACCTGCCCCCCTCCTACCTGATACGACTCAGGTGCATTTGACTGTCGTCCGTGTCAAAGGAGTAAGGAATTAAAAAACCTTACCCTCCCAGGGTGGTTAATTTAAAGCGGTGGTGTCAAGTGTTTCTATAGGGAATACAAGTGTCTTATTTTTAAGGTCAAGGAGTTGAAAGGTATTGAGTTCGCTCTTGTGAAAGAACAAAACATTCTTAAAGATGGGCAAGGAACATGTTGCCATGATCTTAATAGTTATCACTGGCTTTACAGAAGTTTAAAGACCACATTTAATAGCGGTGATACAAGTAGATTTGCTCTCAAACTGCAGTGATGCACTCTGTATGAGAGTCATCTGCATTTCTATGAAAGGTGACCATTTTGATGTAAGGCCATACACTTTACCTTCTTTTTTCGTCACCAATTAAACAAGTTTTAAAGTTTTTTAAAATAGTCAAATCAATTGCTTCTTAACGAGTAGAAAGTCATGTTCCCTGATCTTGCCTTCTACAAAACAAATAGGTCCACACTGCTTTCGTGTGTCTTGGACAACAACAATAATAATAATGATAATTAACATTTCTAGAGCACCAAAATTATAAAAAATATTCTAAAGCACCTTACAAAATATTCTATAAAATATTAAAAGAATTAAACGATAAAATATGAAAAATATGAAAGATATTAAAATGTTAACACTATTAAAAGTGTTAAAACAACTTAAGAATGGCTACACTGACTGTTCTACATTTCAAGCAGCAGTTTGCTCCATAGAAGTGGCCTGGAACGGGCAAAGGTGCGATCCCCAAAGGTCTTGAAATTAGTTCTTGGGATCTTAAGAAGGCCAGGAACGTAGGTGATGACCAGAAATGGAGTGTGGCTGCAGATATTCTTCTCAGTGAAGATGCGATAAGGCGGACGAAATGTGATCAAACTTTGGAATCCTAAATATTAATTGAGCAGCATCGTTAACCACCTTCTGGATACGATCTGTCTGGTACTTGGGATGCCAAAGAGAAGAGAGTTGCAGTAGTCCAAATGTGAAGTCACAAATGCATGAATAAGAGTCTTCGTGGACTCAGGACTAAGGCATTGCCTAATTTGGCAGATTAGATGAAATTGTGACAAGATGAAACTGCATGGTTACAGTTATTCTGCGCCATAGGTCTGCTTTGAAGGTATGCTGAATGGATGTCGATGGTTGCATCAGTGCGCTAAAGTTGACTGGTTTTCAAAGAAGTTGTTTGATAGCCTGTTTAACAATTAGACATTGCGTTCTGAGTTTTCTAAGTAATTAAACCTTTTTAGCCATGTGGTCACATGGTTTGAAATGGGTAAACAAGAATGAAAAACGACTGCTGAAGTATGTGCTTCAGATGACATCTTATAGATGAAACTGCCTCTTCTATGCTGAAACTTTCATTGTCACAGGTAAATCAGCGCTTTAAAGACTGGGGTATAAGAAATCGGCAACAAAGGAAATATAGTTTGTAATTAAGATTACAAACACCTCAAGCTGGAAAGACAAACTTTTGAGTGAATGATCTTTCAAGGTCGCATCATGCAATATTCCATAGACAACAAATGCTCTGCGAACATAGAGTCATAGTATCCCTGGAGAGCCTATCTCAAATTTTACTTGAATCCATGTCTGAAATTTTTATCTTCAAGATAAATTTATGGCATTTTCTCTCTTTTTCTTCGCCCTTTTGGAAGACTTAAACAAGCTTTTTTACCCAGCCTTTCAGTATTTTCTGTTGTGGCCAGAACCACAGCTAGTTAATACCACCTTGAATTTGGCACTTTGATCATGAAAATTCCGGTGGAATTATTCAATTACTGATCTCAAGGCTGAGGCATGTGTGTCGCTGATGGCGTCTCTGTGATTGGTTAAGGTATAAAGCTACTTCCGGTCTGAGGGGGGCAACAGTGTGGACTTATCTTTGTTGTTGGATTAACTTTGGCAGAACTCTTAGCTGGATAAATATTTGATAAATTTAGTGGATTTATCAGGCACAAAATATGCACACAATATCACATTGCAGCTAGTAAGCTGAATTGCAGAAAATTTAAAGTAATTTTGGAAAAAATTTAACATTATGCATGGTCCTTAAAAACTATTATACATGGTAAAATTTGCATTACAAAATCTATGTTTATTAGTATCAAATTTACTAATTAAGACTTAGTTTATGTAAAACTGATATTTACTCATTGAAAATCGTTTATGACTAGTTAAAACTAGGAATTGTCTTTTCCATACACAGATGGTATTAAAGAACATTAATTTTGTATCTGTCAATTCTTGTGAACAGTCTTTGGAAGGTTTGAGTTTTCCATGTTCTGTACTTTGGTTGGGGCTTGAGTGGTAGCTTTAACCTTGGCATTTAAAGCAGACACATGAAGGCTCTCCCAAAGGGGAATATAAAGAATAAAAAGGATCACTAGGCAAAGATATGTATGAACTTGTAACTGTGGAAGAAGGGATTGCCACTTTCAGATGAGTTTATGGTATTAACTAAATGTCTTCATGATCTACCATTTTCTCCTTAATAGCCTCAAGTCTCCAAGTAGGGAGATTGGGTGGGTGCATTTATTTCTCATCTGCATGTTTGGCCTGAATTAGAATTGCTTTCCTTGCTGGTTAACTTGAACTTTCTTTGCCTTTGTGTCTTTCCAGTCTCCCAGAGTAACCATGCAGTAGTTTACTTCCTCTCCTAGAAGACTATTCTGAGTAAACTTGCAATTAATGATTATAAAAGCTAATTATAATGGTTATTAGGAAAGTACAGACT